GAGTGGAACTGCACGTCCAAGGGCCTGGCACCAAACGAAACAGTATAAATAAAGAGGCAGCACCCAGCCATTCATTGATTCACCTGCGAGCTACGTGGAAGCGCTGCTTGAGTGACCAGTGCGTTGAGTCACAGATGGTCAGCAGGAAGCCTGAAGGTGGAAGAGGGTGAGCGGCCATAGCCGCTAGTAAGGAGGAAGACGACGGCGGCCATAGCCGCCAGTGTGACGAAGTCAGCAGTTAGTATGTGTGCGTAGACATTCAGGGTAGATCCTGTGCGTGTGTACGTGTCTGTGAGTGAGTGTGAGTGTGTCTGATGGTGGATACAGTGTTCGGGTGGGAATTTCAGACTGGCTCTCAGACTCCATAGCCGCAAGATGTGACAAGTTGACTTGAGCTGAGTTCCTGGCCGAAGGCCATATCTCTGAGTTTTCTGTGTGGGCGCACTGCGCCATCTCACTCTTGTTGGTGATTCTACTTTGAGGAAGATGTTTTGACATCGGCACCTGTGTGTATGCATGTTGGAAGTGAAATTGAGACAAGTCTGATTGCAGTTTTGTATTGTGAAGCTTATCATTTTTGTGGCCTCACAAATTTCTTGCAGGGGGCATTCACAGTAGGAGGCTGTTATGTATCTCCAGTCCCTAGGACTGCCAAAACTAAGGTAGTTTTCTGCTACCCTGCAACATCAACAGACCTGTTCGTTCAGATCATCAGCCATCAGGATGGGAAAGCAGCAGGCTGCAGCGGCAAAAGCCAGTCCGCATCTGGGTTTCCACCCTCAACGCTTGAGAGCCCTGTGATCTCCGGCTTGGAACTGAGAGGTGAGGAGCATCCTGGAACACCAAGCTCGGATTTGGGAGAGCAGGAGCGAGCGCCAGAAAGTATGGTAATAGATCGGTGCCGAGAGCGAAGAGATCGAACGGCGGAAATGAAGGCAGATGCTGATCGACAGCAGAGAGATGTCAGAATAGATTTAACTGATGATCGATTGACAGACAAAGACGTACAGCAACCCAATCACAACCACTTGCGCAACCGACCCACCCAGGAACTGAAGGGTGGTGGTCACGAATCGATGGCAGAGGGCACGGCCATGGTAGGCTCGGTGGTGCCCGAGAATGAAGATCACCAGACTGAAACGGCTGTGAGCGATATGGCAGCTCGTGAGCCGTTGATCATGGAATCTGGAGGAGCTACAGGTGGCACGAGCAGGGCGAGGAGAGTTCGATTACCATTTAATACAGTTTGCTTGGTTGAGAGAAGATTTCAGGTACTGTGTACTCGCAGGAACGGTATTCAGAAGGATTCCCCTCACAGAGAAGAACCTGGCACCCCCGCCGCCAGCGAGCATTTTTCCCAGGCAGAGGTTATTGGTCGTGCCGCATCATCAGGGTTTTCAGAAGTGCCATTGCAGCCGAGTCCAGTTGATGATACAACTTCCTTGGCGAAAGGACCGAGCTTTGGAGTTTGCGTCGATGCGCAACAGCATCCGGGAAGTACTGTCGCAGCTACCGTCATCGGCAGTTGCAGTGATTTGCAAGTTCTTGAGATGACACGTGCGTTTACAGAACAACAGCAAGTGAGCGACACCAACAATGAATGGTCACCCTGTAGTCCACAGGGGTGCCCGTTTGCGCAAACTACTCCTCCTCCTGTTTTTCTTCGACACATGGGGGATTCCGATTGGGTTCTCATCCGCCAGCTGGCAGATGGAGGGCGGGTGAACTGCAACAGTTCGCTGCCAGTTGGGCCTCCAGATCGACACGGAAAACAGGCTTGGCTGTCAAGCTGTGCTTGTGGGAGAAGGTCCTGCCCACCTACAATAGGAGATGTGAGGAGAAGGAAGGTAGGGGTGCATTATGCACCTGACATGATGCAAAGGGTGACAGATGCATGGGCCCACATGAAACTTCTTCCTGCACCCGTACGGAGGAGCCTTCACGTGGCCGAAGATGCCGATGGCCATATCCTGGGAATTCCGGTAATTATCTGCCTGACACAGGCACCTACACAGGGCCCACATAGCACCAACATAGTCCAAACATACCACCTACATAGCACAAACATAGTCCAAACATAGCACCTACATAGTATTCAGATATCATCCCTACAGAGCACATTATCTTCCTGACACAAGTCCTACATATGGCCCACATAGCTCCAGCGTAGCACGAACATACCTACATAGGGCCCACATAGCACGAATCTAGTCCAAACATAGCACGTACATATTATTTTAGATGTAATCCACACAGATCACATTACCTGCCTGACAAAGGGACCTGCACAGCGCCCACATAGCGCAAACATAGTACCAACATGGTACCAACATAGTACCAACATAGTACCAACATAGTCCAAAGTTCTCCAAACATAGCACCTAGATTTTAGTTTAGATATCATCCACAGAGAGCACATTATCTGCCTGACACAAGTCCGACATAGGGCCCACATAGCACCAACATAGTCTGAACATATACCTGCGCATAATTTAGATATCAATCATCTCATCCACACAGACAACACACCGTAAATCCTGAAACCCATGAAACACAGAATAAATAGGACCAGCATAGGACCCACCCCGGTAGCAGTCACCGGTACACCACCCCAAAACCACCTTAATGGCAAAATATAGGGCCGCTGCAGCATGAACGTGGATGTAAAGTTGTTAACTATGCATATAGCATATGATCAGTATGGCCATGCTGAGGAAGGAAGGGAGGAAAAAATGAAAAATAAAAATGTGAAAACACTGAAAAGTAAAATAAGACCAGTATGCACACATGGGCTTCTGTATAGTTGTGTTTTCACAACGAAAATGACAACGAAATGAGAACGAGAACAAGAACGAGAACTAAATTGAAAGCAAAAATAAAAATGAAAACCAAAAAAAAGGATAGTATCTGGGATCAGGGTGGCCGGCGTTTGGGACGGGCCGAACGCCCGAACCCAAATGCCCACCCGTACAACGGGACCCCTTGGGAATGCGTTCAGCCGTTCGGACCGAATGCGGACCCTTCCCCCCCCCCAAAAAAAAAAAAAAAAAAAAAAAGTCTGCAAAAAACATATGTTATGCAGAAAAATAAACTAAACAACATGTGCCTGAGCATTACATCCAAATTCCTTGCCAAATTTGAAATTAAAATAAACAAAGGAAAATAAATACTAATAAGAAAAATAAGAAAACGTAAAAAAGAGAAATTAGAGAATTAAAATTAGTGAGTGCGCAAGCCCGTTTTCGACACCGATATCTTTGGCGATTTTTCATTTTTTTTTGGCATAGCCAAATGCCCTGCAACTTTACATATGTGTACTTCACATAATATAAAACACATGCAACAAGTTTCAAAAACATAATAAAATATTTGAGGCATCAAAATAAAATCACAACAAAAAGTGAAAAGTGAATTTAAAAAAAAAAAAAAAACTGAGTAGCCGAGTACGTTTTAACACCGCCATCTTTGACGATTTTTCATTTATTTTTTTGGCCTCAGCAGAATGGCTTGAAACTTTATGTGCGTGTAGCACATGTCCTAAAGAACTTAGAAAAAAAAACATTCAACAAAAACAAATCATTTTTAGGACCCGGCATATTTTTTGGCGGGGGCTGAACCCCTTCAGGTTCGGCCCCCAAACGGGACCCTGAACGTCCAAACGTTCGGGGGTCAGCCCGCGGGCCCCCGAACGTACAGCCTGGTAACCATGTGGAATACCTTTCCGGGCGCCCTGGGGCCCACTAGCAACGAGGATTAGATCAACCACCTGGATGTGGACGGGTTTTATGTGGAGATGCAGAAGGGGAGATCACTTGCAATCTTCTGCACCTCTCTACAACTGCGTCCAGATTCAGGCCCTTAATCTGGTCCTCTTTGCTCGGGGAATTGTGCCCCCGGCTGCCTCTGGCAGCCCGGATTGCCCAGCCAGGTAAGGTCCCGGTCAAGTCCTGCGCAGCCCCAGCGCAAAATCAGAAAGCTTTTTAGAAATAAAAAAATGTGGAAAACGGGTATGGATCTGAGTCTCCGCACAAACATGAACTTTGAGGCTAAATTCACTCCTGGGATGTCAACCCCCCTCTTACTTATATTTGTCCTCTCCTTTTTGTGTGCAGGTTATGGGTCTGAGTCTCTGTGCAAACATCAGCTTCGAGGCTAAGTTCAGGCCTGAGGTACCACTCATTTCAGCGTGTAAGGCCATCTGGGCGGTATAGTGGCTTCAGGGGAAAACAACACTGTCCGCGCTCTGAACACTTGTGGTTCTTTTTTTTTTTTTTTTTATAGCAAAATCCAGCCTCAGACTGGGAGGGGTGGTATGGGCATCTCCTTCTAGCAGGCCTGTCGCTGGGCATTCTTTTTTTTTTTTTTTTCCCTTTCCCACCATCACCTTTCTTTCTCAATCATTAGGAGTAGCCTTTTTTTTTTGTTTTAATAAAAGCAGGCCCTTATGGTCCTGGCTCCATGTCCATTTCTGGGGACTAGCCATTTCTGTGGGCATGTAATCTGTCAACTGCCTATGAAGGAAGGAGTTGATCAATAAAGATTGCTAAGCATTGTTCTTTCTCAATCATTAGGAGCAGCCATTTCTTCTTTTTTCCTTTTTCCTTTTTCCTTTTTCTTTTGTCTTTTTTTCTTTTTTTCTTTTTCCATTTTTCTTTTTTTCTGGAATGAACCTCCCCTCAATCAACACACGAATCCGCACATGCGCAGCAGAACATTCTCATTAGAGTTCACACTCAAAGCCAGGACATGAAACCAGGAACAGCGCACCATAAAACTGCAGCAAATTGTTAATATTATATACAAAGACTTTGTTTGAAGGCTCCTGCGGCATAAGCCACACACGATACACTCTCAATAGGACAGTTATATAACCGCTATCCCTCTCCC